GATGGGCCGTTAGTGGCCGAATGACTCTCATTGAATACGTGAGATGAGGAGTAGATGAAAAGAGTGTATAGTCCTCTTTACAAGTCAAGCGGGTTTTTTAATCTACTATCCCGCCTGCCCACAATGAGCCTGAAGCATTGTGCAGGTGGTAGTGTGTCACAATGACTACAATACTGTATTCAAGTGCTAGATATAATTTAGGAGAACATGCTCCATTTTTTTCCAGGGCGTATCCGCATATTCAATCGCCTGACCCACCAAATAAAGGTTGTCTCGAAAGGATTGGTGTACTTTAGACGCGGCTTTCAATAATGAACTAGCAAACTAAAATTGAGAGATGACAGCAAATAGACTCCTTTTTCCCTGTTTCCGAATCCTCTTTGGTACTAGCCAGAGCAATGTCACTGTGCACCCTAGTTTCTCAGTAAATCTAATGGAAGAGAAAGAAGGGGAATATACCAAACCTTCCTAATGCACAAAAAATCTCTCCCTGACTGCGCAAGCATTCGCGCTCGCACTTAAAGTCACCATTGAACTTGTGCAACGTGTGCTATTGGGACAATAGTATCCGAAACTCGGCATAAATGTTTAGGTTCAAGCCTATAGAGATAAAAAGAATAGCCATCTTCACTAGTCAATTGGACGAGGTCTTCGAACAAAATTAGCCAGATCATAAGATAGATGAACAAGAAATTGTCTCCTCCCCCTTGTAGGCAATTCCGCTCCGCCTTAATAAAAATCATCACCTGTCCGGCGACAGTATCTAATTGGTGCTTGTCTAAAATCTCCATCCTGACTCCGTGTCAGGCAACTCATTCTAGCTAGTGGACTCTGCACACAGGAGCAGCAGGAGCCCGGGCTAAACCTTGACATTAAAACGTTAGACTCCTCCCTAGGCTGAATAATACATAAGAAGATGTTTATCGATCACAGGCAAGCCGAGTAGTTGGGTGAATGTCTCTGTTTGTCTGGTTAGTTGGCACGTGTGAAGAAAATGTTTTACATTTCTGAAACACCTGGAAAGGGCCCGGTTGGAGTGCTTTGATGCAAAACAATATATTTGTCCTTGAGCCTCGGAAATCTTGATTTTTATTAGCCTCATTACGCTTCTTCTGGAAGGTTGTTTTTGATCAACTGACTCATGTGAAACTAGCATTTAAAGCATGTAGTCACTGTTTTTGCCTGAATCGCATGCAGTTGAAGATCAGTAAAGGACGGGTATCTCCTCTCAAAGCAGTGGAGCTGCAGACAAGCCTTATTTTCAGAACTTCTGTGTACACCCTACTGCCGTTGATGCATAAAAATTGAGAGGTCATCTAAAATGTAGATGACAAAGTACGTGGAGTACGAGCATGCTCGGCTCAAAGTGACTGTGGGTGCCCTTACAATAATCACTTTAATACTGCGCGGTCCTTAATGACGACCACAAGAACTATCATTTTACTCGCTGATCCTGATCTTTTCCGAATTTACATTCTTCCTTTTCATGGGCAGTGGATCAAAAGAACAAGAGATTGGCGGCTAATATATTTATAAGTATTTTTCACAGCTATTATGTTTATGTACCTATTTTGCTTTGCATAATATTAACTGCGCTCAATTTTATACATTTTAGTATATATATATATATATATATATAAGCATATACACAGTATTTTAGACGTTAAAATGTTTCATATACATATTTAAAGACATTATTCTATTTCTTAAATCTTAAAATATATATATCCCAATATGGCATATGCGTACATCTGTATATGTAAGTGTATAATAGTGCTATGAGTTCAGAAGAATATTTTAACTTGTGGCCCCTTCCTTCGTATATATATTTGTAGGAATGAGGCAGCTAAAATTTGTATCCAATTTTATAGTGTTATACTAATATACTAATATTGAGAGAAATAGTATTTGTTGAGGTTTTTAAAATATATTTGCCTACTAATTTTGGCTGCCTTATCCCTACAAATGTCTGTATGATGGAAGAGGCCGCAAGTTAAAATATTCTTCTGAACTCATAGTACTACAATACACTTACACATACATATTCACGCATATGCCATAGTGGAGTATATATAGTTTTAGATTTGAGAAATAGAATAACGTCTCTAAATATCTATATGAAATATTTTAAAGTCTACAATATTGTATATATGCTTATATATATATATATATAAATTATGCAGGATGCTTATATGTACGTATATGAAATATTTTTAAATGTATCATTCTGCATATATAATTTTTAAATACAAATTAATTATATTCTATAAAAATATGATTGAAACATCAACTCATAATAATTTTCTTAGACACAAAATTATTATCTGGTAGATAAATAAATGAATGAATGAATATATATATATATAGCAATTGGTTTAATCCGAGTGGATGCACAAGCTTGGGCTAGTAAGCATAATGGTGAGCAAGTTACTGAATAGCTGAATAGAATACAAAGAGGAGCATTGTAAACCTCGGCCCTTAATTTCATTCTCTCATTCGCTAATTGGTCCATAAATGCAAAATATACGTGAAAACGCTTACTCGCAAACGATTTGGCGGATAAAGCTGGAATGGAAGGAAGCAGCCTATGTGGATAGCTGAAGGAATAGATAGATGGGTGCACGCAGACTCAATGAGATTTGAAGCGATAGCGACAAAGACAGCTGCCAGAGAAGTATAATGTCAGTACTAAAATAAGGTTAAATTCCTTTTTTTCAATTTTTAAAATAAGCAATTTGAAAATAATAGGTCGTCACTTTAGGCACGCTAGACAGTACCAAGGTTGAAGTCACGTTTAGACAAGTTGGGGATGTCAACTCCACTAATCCCTTGGATGTATTCGCTGATTAGAGTTGATGTGTGCACTGGTGACGTTTTTCCACAGGTTCATATGATGGGCAGACAAACACAGTGCTCGCCTGTCGTTGTATCTGACTCTGGCTAGGCTAGATTCGTCTTCTGTTTGCATGCTTTTGTCATACTGGGCTGACATAGATTGTGCTCCGTCTTGCCTGGGGACGTGTTCTCAATCACTAGGCTGCCTGCCCCTCCGTCTCTTCTAGCTCCTACAATCGTCTCAATAGTACTTCTCACCCTTTGTCCATTTTAGCGTGTCTAGGCCTAAAGTGAGACAAAAAGTTATCCTTTTTCTTTTCTCCTTAGGGGCTAATTCGAGACAAGGAAATTTATGACTTCAGGTCGTGCATTCACATTGAGCACATCGTGGGCTCAGGTGAGAGCATGTACGTAGGAATCATCCGCTGCCTCCATCACATGCACATACTCAGACAAACGATGAGAGGACCAGTATTGTGGACAAGTCGTCTTCTTAAGGAGCTTTCATGACACCGATCTGGGTGCAGCAGCACCACGTCAGGCCAGAGCAACTCCTCCGTCCCATCAAGTGCCCCTCCTCAGATCGCTGCTAAAGTCGGCTACACCTCCTCCTCTTGAGCTGTGCTCTGGCCGGCAAGCATGCTGCTCTTTGATGGGGAGCCGCTGCTCTTCTTCCTTTTCAGCTTCAGCATCCTCGACCTGTTGATTGGTGGCTGTCTCTGGGGCTCAGGCGAGTCTGATGGCGATTCGGTGAAGATGTACTTTGGCATTGTCATATTTGCTATTGGCTGCACCAGCACGGTCTGTTTCTTTTTTGTGCTGTGCTTGAAGAAGATTCAGCGCAGGCGACGTAAGAGATTGGAAATGGAAGAGTTGATGCGTATTCAGGGTGAAGTGACCGGAGTGGTCTACGATTCAGGGGGCGTGTCTGGAGGCAAGAAAAACGAGCTCTCCAGAAAGCCGAGTATGATGTCACGAGGAATAATAAACCCGGCAGCGGAACTATGATATTCTGCCCCATTTCTTACATCAACTCTAAACTTCAAAAGCCGAGTCTTTAATTGCTCATGTCTCCATCTTCCAGAAAGCCTCCAAATGCTATTATTCGATCGGACCATCCCAAAAGCTAAGGTCTACGGCCCAGTGTATTTGAAGAAGATTCGGATCTGTAACCTTTATCAACTGATTCCCTTCCCTTCTTGCGACCGCGATATGATATTTATCTAGTCAGAATGAACCTATGACGAAATTCTGTCAGTGTGATGTGAGTTTTGCTCTGCGTTTGGCGCTATTCGCCGGTCGTTGCACGAATTAATACTAGCCAAATTCACTATTTTTATGATTGGTTGTTTCATCTCAAATTATCCTTTCAGCACAATTGTGAATATTGTACATTGATAGATGCATCGAAATGCCTACTTTTTATATACTCAAACAACTATGCCAAATGAATCAAATGTTATCTTTTGTAATCCTAACATATACAGTGGTGCGTTTTTGTACACGACCGCCAGAAGCTAAGGTTCGATTCTCGTGAAAATGAGTCAATGGAAACTTGATGCCTATTCATATGATTGTGTGAAAATGCAACTATCAATCCTTAAGGAATTTATGTGACTTGTAATGGCGGGAACTCTTTGTCAAGATCTAATGATAGTTACTTGTCTCAGAATAAATAAACTCGGAATAACTGGGTATTCATTTCGAAACTATTTGTCGGCCATGAAAACGAACCTGAGTCACCTCAGTTCACCTAAGGTGATGTACTGATCGGCGGTCGGATCTATCACTGTAAAAGGAGTACAAAGTCTCGCATTGTCAGTTAGCTTCACTTAGCTTGTCCTCCCAAAATAATTTATTTTCATCCGAAATAAACTACAGCCAGCATTTGCTCTTGCAGCATTTGCCTTTATGGCAGAATGGTAACATGCTGTCACTTGAGGCATACGACTAGGTTTAGAATCTCATTTAGATATGTTGATGATACCTAGACAAATTTGAGACTGTATTCCATCCTGGATAAAAAGCCATTTTGAAAGACAAGGCAGGGAGAAATCCCAAGGATTGAAAGATCTTTTTACTTCACTATAGCGACTTCAACCATCAGTCATCACACCCCCTTAAGCGGCCTATGGTGGCTCTTGTTCTTATTCAAGATATACCGTTATGTTTGAAGCCTACCTATTTAGTATATAATCGTGTCGTAATCAGGAGTATTAAAACAATTTCGCCTAGTATACTTACTACATATGTGAAAGTAGGCAAGCTCAGTTGGCCCAGTGACCCAATTGTGTCGACCAGTATGTCTGACGGAGTGGTAGCATGTAGCCATTTAAGGTTCGCAATCTGGTTTCGAGTGCCCTTTGGCGGTGATGCTGAAAACTCGGATAGACTAAATCTATCATCTATTCTGGACGAGAAAACTTGATATATTGAGTCCTAACCATTTCTTTATAGGTTAGTGAACTACAAATGAGAGAATAATCGTCGCATAATACTACAAAGTAATGTGCCTAAGTTTGACATTATTCATCATTAATGACATTTGTAGGTATATTAAACAATCCTTTCCTTCTGGTTTTGTCCACTCTTAAGGGAGGAATTACACAAATTATTTAATTTGCTTTCAAAGTATAAATCGAGTTAAGACAGGCAACAGGCCAAATATAAAATGCTTTACTGAACTGGTAAAGTGTGGCTGATAAAAACATTTGATAGCCGATGCTTTAGAGAGCAGTTCCACGGAACCAAGTGATCTACGGCTTTCATTTGGGATACTTTGCCTACATTACCGCTGTATTCTACTCTTCTTCACTCGTTATCCTCACCGTCCGTACTACAAGTCACTGCATTAATCTATTTGTATCCCTCGTTTCGTTTGAAAATGAAATGATAGGTAGAAAAACTTGTATTTATTTTTGGTATTCTTTAAAACTCGGTTTATCTTTATATCACCGAAGTCGCAGTATTGCACGCTTTGAGC